CATCAGCTGTAGTTATAGAGAACAGCAGTAGTTATAGAGAACATCAGCTGCAGTTATGGAGAACATCAACTGTAGTTATAGAGAACATCAGCTGCAGTTATGGAGAACATCAACTGTAGTTATAGAGAACATCAGCTGCAGTTATGGAGAACATCAACTGTAGTTATAGAGAACATCAGCTGTAGTTATAGAGAACATCAGCTGCAGTTAACATCAGCTGTAGTTATGGAGAACATCAGCTGTAGTTATGGAGAACATCAGCTGTAGTTATAGAGAACATCAACTGTAGTTATAGAGAACATCAGCTGCAGTTATAGAGAACATCAGCTGTAGTTATAGAGAACATCAGCTGTAGTTATAGAGAACATCAGCTGCAGTTATAAAGAACATCAGCTGTAGTTATGGAGAACATCAGCTGTAGTTATGGAGAACATCAGCTGCAGTTATAGAGAACATCAGCTGTAGTTATAGAGAACATCAGCTGTAGTTATAGAGAACATCAGCTGTAGTTCGGCTCATTTAGAGCAGATAAATAATGCAGAACGTCTTGTCGACAGCTGCAGAATTTATGTTCTGTTCTCTGGAGCAGCATCAAACCAGCTGAATGGATTTAAAGGTGACATATGTCTGATGTAGACAAATCTTTAAAGAAATAACTTCTTATGTTTTCTTTGATTATATTTTAAAGGTTTTTATTTACGACAAAATAAACCAAAAACACAAAGGTCCTGTCAGATGTGACGTGAGTTTAAAACTAAAAATTTATTTTATCAGTATTAACCTAGATATTTTACTTTTTAAAACCTTTCCACAGAAACATTTCAGATGAACTATTGATTATGTATTTGGAGTAAATTGATTGTATTTGTCGGCTGCTGCTGATGGGTGATAATGTCTTTGTCCTGTTTGTGTTAGTAAAACATCTCATGAACCACTGGACAGATCTGATCAGCTGTAGATGTTCCTCTATCACCGTTTAGCATTTAGTCTACCTGATTCAAGATGGCCGCCACAGCCATCTAAAAATGAATGGCAGTAACTGGAACAATGCTACACACACTGAGCTAACATGGTGGTCGCTGAGAGTCCTCCTGAAACCTTGGCATGGAAGAAAAGCCTTTGTTGTTGTGTTTTCTGCAGTG